GACATGCTCTCATTAGCTGGCAGAGTTCCTCCCTGTTTAACAGGAGATGCTTTCCTGCCCTCCTGACCCCAAATGACACCTTATTCTACAAATGTCGACTTCCCCTAATTGCACCCTGACAGAGAGAGAGGCAAACCCCTCCTTTCCTCTCCAAGGACTGTCATTTAATTAACAGGCAGGTATCTCTCAGGATTTAGAGGCCAGCTCTAAGCTGCTACTCTCTCTGCTCAGTAACTGAGGCCTGAGAAGGCTCATTCCATTTATCTGTGCATTTCGATAACCGCATTTTTGCTAATCTTGCTATGCAAGAGATTTACCTCTTGGATTTACCTCTCATGGACCATGGAGAGAGCAGTTAATCAAATGAACAGTCCCCATCTCACTTCTCATTCCCTTCCTGGTTCCTGATCTCAGATGTCTGCGTTGTAGATGACTTCATAGCAGAGCTGTACCTATGCTGGCACCATCACCAGTTTCTAGTTTAATCCAACTCTCATATCTGTCCTACAGACATGACCAGAGATAGCACAGATGAAAGAGAGATCAGAATCAAAGACATTGAGGCTGGCTGGATATCAAGAAGCATTTAATTTGTTCCTCCTTCACAAACTGGGATCATCTCTCTGCAACCTGTTCTTGACATATGTTTTCTAACAGGTTCTTAAATAAAATCCAGTACTGAAGATTCCCACAAATCCCAAGCAATCTTTTCCAGTGCTTCTTGCCCTCCTGTTAGATGTCTGAGAGCAAGAGGGAGAAAGTGTTGAAAGCCCATTTTGCACATCTTGCCCGGAAGGACAGAGATTCTGGTCATTGGGGCCATACCACCTGTCCCACTGATCATGAGGAGCAAACTGGTTTTACTTTGGTTGTGGTTTTTGTTTTCATCACGGGTGAAGAGGTAGATAATGGTTCCTGTCCCTCCCAACTGTTTTTGTGGGGCATGCTAGATCTAGAAAAGTCCAAAGAAAACTAGTATATTACTGAAGGTTTAGTGACTGAGGGTCAAATCCAGACCCCTGGATTTTGTTCCATGGATCAATGGTCTCTGAGTAAACAGACATATTTTGAGAGTTCAGCTTGGAGATGATCTGACCATTTCAGAACAAATGAGGATAACAGCAACCAAATAATCTGTGCTGAGGGAGCTGTATGTGCAAGGAAGCACTCATGCCCTCACCTTTGACTCCACACTGGAAAAGATCAGTGCTGCCATGGGATTACCCATGCAAATTGCCACAGTTATCTCTATCTTGGCAAATTGCTACCTAAATCCCTAACTGACCAGGTAGAGAGGAGATCACACAAAACAGCTGGGCAGTTGCTGACTGCCTGTCTGATTTTATTCACATCTCTGCAGAGTTGGTGACTCTCCAGCTTTGAGACTCCACAGTGCCAGAGGAAGTGTCCTGCTGAGCATCTCCAGTGACAGGGTGTATAAACCTGCCTCCAGGACAAGAATCACTGGCTACCCAATGGATGTGAGACACTCAAGTATAACAGAAGTGCAAACTGGCAGGAACTACAGAGGAGCTCTATTTCAGCACACCTGCTCTTCAGTAAGAGAGGTCTTTCAAACCTCTGCTCCTCTGATAGCGAAAGAAAAACTTGGGGGTCAAGCTGGAGGAAGAAACAACTGGAATTGATGCAATTACTGTAGGACCTATGGTATCACATTCTGCTAGCTAAGGCTGCCCAGCCTGTTACAAAAAATGTACAGACAGCATCTTACATTAGCTGGAAAAAACAACTGTGGTAGAACTGAGTGCACCTAATGTCCTGCCCTTTCCCCATGACTGAGCATTTCTTAGCTCCTAAATCTTTCCTACCCACCCACAGGCTAGGTAACAAAAGAGGAAAAAGGCTCTACTGCAGAGGAGGAGACACTGAATTGCACAGACAACACTCCAGTATTTCAAGATCCATTGCCACTGTAATTATCCATGAGAGGTTTTATCCTAAACTTGCAGAAGTTGAACTAAAACCCAGGGATGAATAACAAGAGGCTTGGGGCCATGCTGGCAGTCAGGAGCAGAACTTTCCATCTCCAGAGCTGCCTTTGACTATTTGTCAAAAGACCCGCATGAGGCAGTAAGGTTTGGAAGAAGGATAAAGAGAGGGACAAAAGCTCTCCCTCTCCACAGTGAGGAACTCACTGCAAGCCTTCTAGGGAGACACTGCTGCATCCATGACAAAGTTATAATGAATGAGGAATTCACCTCAGTTGCAGCGTTCATAGAATGGGTTGGGTTGGAAGGGACCTTAAAGATCATCTTGTTCCAAGCTGCCTTGGGCAAGGACACTTCCTATTACTCCAGGTTGCTCAGAGCCCCATCCAGTGTGGGCTTGAACACTTCAGGGATTGGACACCCACAACTCCTCAGGGCAACCTGCTCCAGTGCATCACCACCCTCACAGTAAAGTATTTCTTGCTAATATCTAACCCTACTCTCTTTCAAACTGAAGCCATGACCCATGTTCCATCCTACATGCCCTTGCCCTAAGTCTCTCTCCAGCTCTCTTGTAGGCTCCTTGACATACTGGAAAGCTGTATCCCCAGACCCTCCTCTCCTCCAGGCAGAACAACCCCAACACTCTGAGCTTGTGTTCATAGGAAAGAATTCCCTGTGATCAGTCCCTTCCCCTGGCCTGACCTGGCCTTGCCCCTCAGTGGGACAGAGCAGCCTTTTGGCCAGTGCTAGTGCATGCCCTGAAATCTGCAGGGCTGAGGAGAAGTCACTCAGAAAAGAGGGATGACCACATCAACAGCCAGGGAGTCACAGCTCCTGCTGGAGATCTCATTTGTCACTGAGTTTGAACTGGGCAGAAGAGGAGGAGGAGGGGAGGAAAGTGAACACACACTCTCAGCTAGTACTGCTCAGAGTTTATTTTCTCTCCACTGCTGAGCTGGGAGCAGCAGCAGCAGCATCCACAGCTGGGATTTCAAAGAGCAAAAATGCACTATACAATCAAGTTTTACACTGCAGGGTGGCAGGGGCAGAGGGCTGGCAGCATCACATATGAGCTTTTCTACAGGAATGGAGACAGAGCTCACGTGCCCACCCTCTCCCTGACGAGCATGGGTGGGCTGCCTGGCAGCACAGGCAGACGTGCTGCACACAGCCCAAGTGGAGCAGCTCTGGGCAAGAGAACCCACGTACAGACATGTTAACTCACTGCATCTGTAATGCTTCCCACTGCCTTTTGAGTTTGTGGGAAAGCCAGCATGCCTGGCACCCCAGGACTGCCAGCTGTGCAGGGAGGAACATGAGACAAGGGGATGCCCCAAGTCACGACTCTGAAATGTTCCTGGGAATGGGGTGTAAGCTCCCAGCTTAGGGCATTATGCTTTATGGTGATGCAAATAAACTTATTTTTCCCTCAGAGAAGGTGGGAAAGAGAAATAGAGGCCAAATCCTTAGAAAAAATTAAAAAAAACAAACAAACAAATAAAAGAATCTAAAATCTGATCTGTCTGCCCAGTTCCCCTTCAGTTCAAGGTTGGCATGGTTTGTTCTCTGCTATGTGGGAAGATTTGCCTCCTATTAACAGATGAGCTAATCAGTTCCCCTCAGCTCTTGAAGCTTTATCAAAGCCAGTTAATCATGTTACTGATGTCTGCCCAGCTCAGAGCTCTCCACTTCTGTCCCCTGCCAACAAAGCAACATATGTGCACAGCACACATGCATAGGGAAAATTTTTTTTCCACTTTCAATTTCTCCAGCAAGAGAACATAGCCTATTGTGCCTGTTGTGCCAACACATGGGTGCTGCCCATCTCTCTTTAACACACTTTCTTCCTGGGAAATGTGGTAGCTCCAACCAGCATCACATGAAGGAGCAGGATGATCTCTACAGGCCAAGCTCACATCTCATGCTAGCACAGTGGTGGCAACAGTGGGAGGAATTGGTCTTGGCAGGCCCAAGTCCTGTGCTGGAAGGCTGCTGAGGCCAAGAGCATTTGAACCTGGACACCAGGGTGTGCAGTCCAGAATTCTGTCCCTGCCACTGGGTCTGTTTTACTTCTGCACCCAAATTCCACCAGTTGCAGCTCTGTCCTGCTTCTCCTGAGGGCTGGAATGGGGGCTGTTCTATCCTCTGGAATGGCTCTATCCACACATACACATACCTACCAAGTCAAGAAGACTGCCTTTTCCCACTGAGCTTGGGAGGGCTTCTTCTAACTTCATAACAGTGATGCCAGGACCCAGACATGAAGAGATCTTTGGCTCCCTTTTTGCTTCCTGTCAGGGTCACTTGAACTGACAAGTTATCTTGTGGCCTGTGCTTGGGTGGACACTGCTCAGGGGCATTTAGAGGTGGCTGGTGCTCACCAGAGTGTTTCAGGAACTGCTGCAGGTATTGGCAGCTATGCCCCTCCAATCTGCAGACCTGCACTGGTCCCAGGGAGACTCTACTGGGGTCAGGCTGACAGCAGCTGCTGTACTCTGCAGGCTTGTGCAGTGTGAGTGAGGCAGCTGCATCCTCAAAGAGCTGCTCTGTACCAACCTGACAAGGACCCCAGGCTGGCCTGTGACCTGGTTTGGACTTGCATCTCCAAGGTGGGCCAAAGAAGGGGAAGCCACTCCTGCCTGGCAGAGAGACTGGGCTGGAGAGCCAAGGAGCTGCGTGTGGAGAGACCCTGCCATGCCCGGTGTGAGGCAGTCCCTAAATTAGCTATTCCAGGAGGAAAGGAGTTTCTATAAAGCCTTACACTCCCCAGCCTCCCCCAGACTTCCCCACCCACTTCTTGCTCTGAAGAGACATCTGCTTCTCTCTGGCGTTTTTGCGGGTCCCTCTGCCACCCCAGCCAAGGAAACACTCTGGCGCTGCCCAGACGAGCTGAGAGAACAGTGAAAAAATGGGCCAAAAAAGCAAAGAGGAGGAAAAGCTGTGGGACTCAATCCAAGCCAAACTGTATGGGCTGGCTCTCCAGGCCATGCCCCACTGCTCTCCAGGGGTGAGTGAGCTGTGGCCGCGGTGTGAGGTACGGTCACCCACCTATACAGACAATGTCCATGAAGCCGTACATTCCATAGCAGATCTGGAAGAGCAGGTCCTGGCGCTGCCACTTGGCTGAAGGACTGAAGGTCGACCAGATGAGCCACGAGATACTGGCGATGAGGAAGAGGGAACCCAGGATGGCCGCTGCTATCTGAACCTTCTCAATGACCGTCAGAGAGATGGCCTGCCACTGTACAGGGAGGGCACAAGAGGAAGGCAGGGAGGGAGGGAGGGAGGACAAAAGAGAAGAGTTAGTTACTTGGAGCACATCACTGTTTTACACCATTGTGGTGGCTTTGGAGATCTCAAAGAGCACCTCTGGGCATAGGTGCTTTTACCCCATCCACATCTGGGATGGAGCGTGGCAGGTGTTCAATAGTGCATTGCCTTGGGTTTCTTGACAACACTGCCAAAGAGGCAATTGAAAGGTGTCCTGCTTCTCACCAGGAAAGCACAGTGACCTGAGTGAGGCAGGATGGATGAAGGCAAGACACCAAAAATGACAGTAGATCTGTGATGGCCATCACAAACCATAAAGCTCAGTTGCTCCCTCAAATAGAAGCCAGGCAACATCCTCATCCAGGAGAGTAAGAGTACCAAAAGAGTAAGTATCTCAGAGAACCAAGCTTTCTTTTGAAGGCCTCATATGAGCTGGCTCTGCGCCACTTTGTGAGATCTGACATGATCACAGCCCTAGGTAGAATCTCACAGTGGCAATGCACATCCCACAGAACATGCTACAAACAACACAAGTTGTGGTCAGGACACCCTGCCTTTAGATGATGACATATTCAGGCTGTGTTCCAAGGTAAACGTCAATGCTTCTTCCTCAGAAAAAGAAAAAAATAGAAATAACTCCTCCAAATCCATTCACTTTGTCAAAGAGCTTTGTATAAGCTACGTTATAAATATCCTAAACCCAGACTCCTCTCTGTCATCCAGCATAAAACCTCCCCACTCAGATTTACACTGCTGAGAAAACTGTCCTATAAAACCAAGAGCAGAAATTGGAGTCTTTAACAAGACTTGGGGACGTGGTCCATAGCATCTCCTGCAAATCAAAAATCACATGTGTAAACAGGCTGAGGAGAGACAGTCTCTCCTGGCATGGAAGTATATAGGCCACCTCTAGCTGTGAGATACATGCCCTTGAAGTCACAGTGGGACTGGCAGGAGGATAAATAAGGATGGACTTCAACCTCCTGCAGGTACAGAGGATTCAGAGGAGTTGAAAATCTTTAGCCTAGATTCAGCCCAAATTCAGTCCCCCTGTGAAGTGACAGTCTGGTGAGATCTCAGTGCCCTGCATGTTGGTCAAACACATCCTAGGACAGCAGGATCACCCATCAAGCCTTGTTCCATCCTTCTGAAGTGCAAGAAGGGAGTTCAAGTACGGGATACCTCTTTAATGCTCAGGCCAGCCAGGAGTTAGCAATGTTTTTTGCAAGGACTTTTGAACCCTGACTGAAGGGTGAGAAGCACAAGAAGTGACTTGTGCTGGTACAGGCACACATGGCACTGCTACCAGGCCAATGACCAAACCCCTGAACTGAATGCACTTCCCTGAAAAGGGCTGCATTTGGAGAGGGACAAACGAGAGCTTCAGCCAGAGGCTGAGGTCTGTGGGTGGCAGCTGAAGGAGATTCCTCTGCCTCTGCCAGCTTTGCTCCTTGGCTTACATCCTGCATGGTCAGACAGCTCTAAAATTGTCTACCATGGATGTGCAGCACCAGTGAGGTGGGCAGTACCAGCTTATTTGGTAGTTGGCCCCAGAAATGGCCACTGAGCTGCTGTACCTAGAGAGAGAGCTTGTTCTCCCCTGAAGCAGGACTGGGCTCAGCTAAACCCAGTCTCTTCCCTGGGCTCAGCTATTCCAGTCCCCTTCCTGCTATCTGCCCCAGCCAAAGGCAAAAACACTTAGCACTGGGGACACTCAGTAAACATTTCATCAGCCCATTTCCATTCTGCCACAGCCTGACCTGCTCCGTGCCTCCACCAAATCCACCTGGCCCCTCTGTGCCACTGAGAAGGTCACACAGTGAGCAGCCTGGAAGTCCCAATGCTGCAGGGGTGCTGGAGTCCACAGGAGAGGTGCAATGGTGCAACTCCTCTCCTGACATCAAGCAGAGCAAAGCCCACCCAGCACTCATCACAAATCTGGCTTCTGAGGGTGGGATAAGCAGCTCTGCCATCCTCCCACCAGCTCTCCAGCTTTGTTCTCAACAGCACCATAAGCCAATGAAGGACAAATCTGCAAGCAATGCCATTAGCCCAGAGCTCCAGGACTAAATTCATGTGGTGGGGAGGGAGCTTGGCTGTGTGCATGGGGTTGCAGTTTTTCCCCTGCAGCTTTCCCCAGACCTCATCTCCCATTCCACTGGCTGTGGCTGACTCGGAGGGAATGAGAGTGCTGAGAGCACAGCCTGGGGCTGCGTGCGAAGGCTTCACTGCGGGCCCCGCACACTGACCCGCATGTGCCTGTGCCAGCCAAATCATTCTGCATCATTTCTCTCTCTTGAGGAGGTAATGGACTGGCTCCTCACCATCTGCCTGGCATACTGCAAGGCCTCTGCTAGCAACAGGTCCTTCCAAGGTAGCAATTAGCAGCAAAGGAACTGTTTTCTACAACTAGAAGCCATGTACAACCAACACCATGGCTTTGCAGAGAAAGGGAGGCTTAGGTGTAGCACTAAATACACTGTCAAAGGGGATGGGGCTCAGAGAACAGAAGAGTTACACCTGAGTGCAAAACCTCAGACCCTGCTCCCCTTGGCTGGGAACAGGGAGGCTGAAACACTGGCAAGGACAGTGCCTGACACTGCTCAGCTGGCAGTGGCTGCTGGGAAGTTGACTGTGGTGATAATGAAGAGCCTGGAGTCTGTCAGCTGTGCCAGGGGGTAGGAGGCTCTCCCCCTGCATCTGGCACTAAGTGACAGTGACACACACAGCAGCAGTCCTGACTCTGTTCAGAAGGTGGCACTGGGGTGTGATTACTCTCTGGCAAGGAGGTAAATGGGTCAAAGCTGAACATTGGGGAAAACAGCCAGCATGCAGAAGAATTTAATAATTTCCAGTAAAAAAAAAAAAAAAGAAGTAATAAATGTTGTATTTCTTCTCTGGCAACCCTGAGAACTGCAGTTTAGTGTCCCAGGTCTAGCTTGAGCCACTAATAACTAGAGTTATTATTTTTCATCTTTTAATTCTATTTTGCTACACATCTTAGTGTATGAGATAGAAGATGTTAGCATGAGACAGAAGATAGAGCCTCTTACCCCCATGAGTGCTCAGACAGAAAGGTCCAAGAGCTGTTCAGAGGTGGAATGTACTGATGAATTTCAGCTGCAGGAGCTGGGCTTGATGCGTCCCTGCGCTGGTAGCCTTAGGAGCTCACCTCAATCACAGCACCCTGTCTTTCAGATTTCATAACAGCCCTTAGAAAATCACCCCTTTTCCCAAGCCCTCTCCATCCTCATTATGGCCAGCAGACCAGGGACTTGGCAGATGACCCTATCATTCTTGGGTCACCAGTAGAGCTGCTCAGCAACTCTGAAGTCCCTCTATTGGCACATCTGAAACCCCCAAAGCTCTTTGTCTGAATGCCTAGCAGCAGACACAGCCCCCTCCCTCCAAATCTCCACTCAAATGTTCAAGATCTAGCAAGATCACAGTAGGTCAAGCAATCCCACTTGTGGGGAGAGACCTAAAGCTGAGCCCTTCTTCCCCCAGCTGATAATGACTCGAGCTCCTGGTAGCCAGTGAGCTGCACTAAAATAAGTGCACCTTTAACAACTCAGCTCACCCAGGTTGTCAGTCAGGGACATGACCTTTAGGCAGGTAGAAAGCTCTGCCAGTGCTGAACAGGGCAGAACTAAGGACTTGGTGGTACCAAAAAGCTTTAAAGGCTCCTGCAGGATAACAGGATCAGCTCTGTGAGCTCCAGACTCACAATGGCTTCAGAACATGTCCAAGCAGTTCTCTGTGATGGTCTGCTACCCACACTGGAAAAGTGCTCCAACCCTCCAAACCATTCTAGAGAAACTGTCTGGAGCTGTCTGTCCTCGGCTACCACCCCCCTGGGCCAAGTGCTTTGGCACACCACCCATGTCTGCAGGTGCAGACCACTGTCTCTCAGACCACTTTCCCCAAGTTTCCCCATTTTGCCCAAATCACAAAGCTCTGCAACCCAGGTGCCTCAGAAAGGGCTTCTTAGGAGCTCAGGTCTGACATTTGTGATGACTTTAGTCAGGGTCCAAGCTGGTACTGCTGCCTTTGAGTATGTCACTTGTTCTTCTGCACTGTTTCATAACCTGCAAGTTGTACTTGACACAAACCTGTTTCCCTGTTTGCTTCAGTGCTTCTGCTTAGAGGTTTGTAAGTGAAAACCTGCTCATGTAACACAGATGAATAATGTCATTACTATAGTATTTAATGCCTGATCTGTATTTCCCTGTCTTTGGCACTTGCAGTCTACAAAGGTTCCCAAGCAGCAGCACAAGCATATCCAAGGCAGATACTACCTGCAGAAGATGTCTATGTCTTACTGCAGCAGCTTGCAAAGAAGTCTCATTTGCTGGAAGAGCCTTCCTGCACTCCCCTGAGAGCTCCTCCATGCCTGCCTCAGGCAGTTCAGTTTATTTTTATTGCTGTATCTGACATGTCCCCTTAATACACATCATTAACATCCTGAGCTGTGCTAGTCAGCAATTTAATTCTCAGACCCAGGGTCACAAGCAAGAGAGGTTTTTCCTAGAAGGTTGGAGAGGATCATTTGCAGCTTAGGTGTGGTTCTCCCCTTGCTGCTGTCCCAAGACCCCAGCCATCAATTAACTTCTGGAGGATGGTTTTTTTTTATAAATTTGCCAAGCAAAATTAAGCTACTGCTTTGGCATAGCTTCCCTGCTGTACACTTACAGATGCTGTGGCTTATTCAGATACTAGAAATGCAGCAAGGAGGAGGGAGGGCCCAGTAGGGCCATGTAATGGAAATGTGCAGCGATGAAAACCCCCCTCCTCCATGTGCCACAGCATCTGGTAAGACTCAGGCTACAGCACCAGCATCCTGGAAAATTCCTGTTGTAACACACAGGCCCTGAAGTCTCTCTTGCAGTGACTGCACCCATTGCTTGCAGGCTGCAGCTGAAGCTCAGCAGGGACCAGCAAAGCTCATGCTCAACACAACTGATTCAGCAGGCTGGGACAACCAGGACACATCTGTAAACTTGCCTCAAGCTTTTTAACTCAGCATCTCAGGCTAAAGCTCAAACACCCTGTGAGATCAGCTGTTCTTGCAGTTGTGAGTGTTCTGATGAAGAGGCCATCAGCTCCTAACAGATCATCACCATGGATAAAATGGAGCCAGAGGAGAACAGAGAGCAGATCCCAACCCCAGCACTGGGTAACTGGGGATATTTGGAGCAGAAACAGCCTGCAATGCAGGAAGAGTCAGAGATAAAAACTGTAAATCAGAGCTGAACTCATCAAGACTGCAGACAGTTGTTGGGAAGGTTGGTTCAAACAGATTTTCTCTTTGCTAAAATGAGAGCATCAGAGTGGATGTGGTTCAGGACTGACTATAAAGGATGTGTATAGATTAAGTACACTTCAGAGGCCCATCAAGGCAGATACCTACTCCACTATGTATCAGCACCAGGGTGCAGGCAGTATGATCACGTGCTTCTAAACCCCTGTGCCTTCAGGGTCTTTTAAAAATCATGGGCTTAACACAAGTATTACAGTGGAGGGAAGCATTTAAAGCCTTCAAGCCCGTGACTCCTGTCTTGGTGACTGGCAAACTGGAGAGCAGAATGGACTGGTGGATGGATGGATGGATGGATGGATGGATGGATGGATGGATGGATGGATGGATGGATGGATGGATGGACAAAAGCTCTGGATTTCTTAGTTGTTCACAGCTGATGGAAGATTTTTGCTCATTCACTGCCTGACTGCTGCTTGGCAGGACACCTGCTATGTTGCCCAACAACTTTATTCCCCAGTCTCAGCAGGTTAGCACTATTGCTGCTTGAAGACCTTTGCTCTTAAATGCCTGCAATCCAGGGAGTTGGGAGTGGGGTGGGTTAATTTACAGAGATTAATTCTGCCAAAACAGAAGACTAAAGGTCCCTCTCTGGTATGAAGCATCGTAATAGCCTGGAGGCTGGAAGGAGCCTGTGTTAATTATGCATGAACCCGGCTGTAACTTCTCTGCCCACACCATGAGTCTCTAGACACATTTGGCCCATGCTGTGCTCCTAAGCACTCCAAAAAATGTGCAGCAGATGTCAAAATGGGCAGAGAAACATGCAGGTCCCAGGGAACATGTGGGTGTTGGATGTGCTGCTCTGCTCAGACCAATTGGACATGCTTCAGGGAGCCCAGGGTCTGCCAGCTGCCTGGATCTGGCTTCCAGCAGTCTATCAGATACAGGGCACAAGAGAGAGGTAGGCCATGATCTTGGTTAGAATCTAGCCATGCTCAGAGCATCACCCAAATAGGTTATATTGGACAAGGACATGAGGCTTGTGTGGTCCTTGCCTGTATTGTGGCTGGTCTGGAAAAAACAAATGACCTTGACTTCCTACAGCATTTGCCCTTTGAGAACTGTGATTGAGAAATTCAGAGATTTCTTGTAAGAATCAAGCTGGGCCCAAGTTCCAGCAGACCCTGAGAAGAAAGGTCAGGGACTTTGAGATATACTTGTATGTTCAATTGGCCCGTGTTATCCACACATGGAGTGCAGACCAAGCAGAAATGATGCTCCTCCCACCTACACATGCTGTCACTTGTTATGGGATACCGTGTTGGGGCATAGTAACTCCTGTGTCTTCTCTGCCTCCTTTTCCCAGTATCTTACCAGATGGTGAGAGCCACTGAGAAATGAGGCATTCACAGTAAGGGGTTCCAGGGGGCCCTGCGTACTCGTAGGGAGTCCTGGCCTGGTGTATCACCACTTCCCACGGGATTTTGCATATTAACGCCAGGGTAGCATCTGCTTCCCAGCAGTGCCTTTGTGCTGGCACCAGACAGGGCACCCAGGCACACAGCTGTAGCTCTACACACTGCATTTATTCCAGGCCAAGTGGTTTTTCACTCCAGTTGCTTCTTCCCATCCTCCAAATTTCCCAGTGCTTCTGTGAGAAGTGCTGTGAAGTCTAAGCCAGCAATGTGAAGGCTCCAACCCCCGGATCTGCACAGTCCTTTGGGACCCTTGCTCCTGGAGCTGAGCTCTCTAACTCAGCTGTTTCTGCCACCCAGTGTTCATGGCAATGGCCATCAGATCAGGCCACTCTCCCAGAGTGAGAGAAACTTTGCACAGGCTCTGAAAGTTGTGTATGTGGGGTGGAAGCTTGTCTGTGAGGAGCTCCAACAAATTTTATTTGAGTGAGGAACAGGAAGAAAGTCACTGACCCATTGCCCTGAGCCACCTGAAAGTGCAGAGTGTTTTGAAGTCATTCATTAAAGGTGGTTCTGGGGACACAAAGGCTCACAAATTTGTACTCACAAACCTTCAGTGCTGCTCAGCATTGCATCCCCAATCTGAGATGCAGGAAGCATTAGGGCACTCATGGAGCAGCTTTCCAGAAATAAACAAAAGCTGCTTTGTCCACATCTCCCCTCCTGTGTTTCAATCTGCTCTGAGTTACTAGAGCCAAGAAATTAAAACATTCTGGGTCTGAGGCTTGGGATGAAACTACTGATGTGTCCAGCCCATGGCTCATGGAAAATTGAATCAGAAGCTCTAGGGACTCTCAGAGAGCAGGCAGGTTTTTCCTTCCCCTCAGCAAAGTTTCCCCATGATGTCCCCCTAATTTCAGTACTTCATTTAAGTCTGGAGTCCTAATAGATTGCCCTGTTTCCTCAATGTGGTAAGTGACCTCAGGCCTAGAAAAAACCACACAGAGATTGCAGTTTGAAGGAGAGAGCAAGAGTTTGCATTCCTCCACTCCTCTGTACAACTGGGCACCATCACCCGCACTGCCCTTGCCTCCTGGGAGAGAGTGACCCACAGAGGGCCAGGCACTGGACAGACCAAAATCCCTACAGACGTGACCCTGGTCTCTAAACCACTGTAATGCCCCTCCAGTCCAGATGATGCTGATTAAGAAGAAGTGCCTGGATGTAATGTGCTTCCTTATGGCCGAGGCACTAATGATGCTCAGCAAAGGCATGCAGTAATTAATGCATCTTCAGGCATTGCCCCCACAATAAATCAATAGCTATTAAGGATAATTTATCCCATTTTAATAGTCACACAGATTTCCCCATTCTGAATCCTGATTTAAAATCACCAGTCTGTACTGTGACTTATTCACTACAATGCTTTTCAGATAAGAATGTGAGTCCTTGGATGACTTTCACAGACACATCAAGATGTGCTTTACCTGTTGTGTGCACATCTGCAAAAGTCCATCAAGAATCAGGCTTGAAGAGACCAGAGCATCAGAGTCAACACCTCCTGTGCCGTGCCATGATTGTGTGAGAGCAGTAGAGTGAAAAAGGGGGTGAGATCAGAGAGGAGAGCGCTAAGAACCCTCCATCTGCCTCCACCATCCCTCACGCCAACACAGCAGAGTCTCAGCAGGAGGAGATCAGGATTAATGGCACAACTATAAACACGTGGAGTCTCGACTGCTCAGTCACAGACTGTGTGTTCTGTTGCAGTAAATTCCACAATGGCACAGTCCTTGCCTGGCCCTGGAGGCAGGCACACCTGGGATCTCCTATGGATGAACACATTTGAATGGCTGTGAGGTGTTAAAGCACTATTGTGGAATTTTCAACAGGAGGCAAGTGAATATAGGAATTGCCAAGGAGAGAAAGAGCAGACTCCCAAGGGATGCTCCCAGAACCACTGAGCAGAACATGGGGTCTCTTTGGACCAGCCCTTGGCAATCCTTTCTAAATGTCTCAGACATAGGAATCCCTGTGCACAGGGAAGGAAAACCCACACAGGTAAAATCCACTTGCTCCCAGAAACAAAAATTGAAACAAGAATAAATAGACTTTGAAATGTCTCTAGTACCTTTACCTGCAGAGGGTTCTTTGTGCTTATGGCAATGACGTGATACTTGTAGTAACACAGCTCACAGCTCCAGCAGCCTCTCTCGCTAATCCATTTGATCAGACATGGCTGGTGCGTGCACTTCACGGATCCATCGCATCGACACGGGCTCAGCAACTCCCCCTGAAACAGACAGACAGACAGACAGCATCAGCGAGGCTCCCCTCCTTCCACAGCACGGCACAGCACACGTGGCAGGCATGGCAGAAGCTCCCTTATCCACCATTTGAGCTTTCTTCCTTTTTTACCTGGTTTGGCTCAGGCAATCATGCTGCTTCCATCCCTTTTTCCCTCTAATAATGCTTGGCTGATGTGAATGAGATGTCAGGGATGTAATGGTCTCAAATACTGGGTTCTTACATGCCTTGTCACCACTGAAGGAAAAGCTGGATAAGCACAACTCTTACCACTCCAGAGGACCCACACTGACCCCAACCAGCTCTGTTGGCAACCAGACACCACCAGTTCATTGCTCAGGTTTTTGTCTCTGCTACCTATTTTAGAAAGTGAGGTTGGTGGTGGTGATAAGCTCTGAGACAGCCTCTGCTGCAGGCTGATGTCCTACTCAGACCCAGGGAGCTTCGTCAAGCCCAGGCAAGGAAAATGTTCTCAAATTTCTCTCCCACACCATCCAACATCCCAGCCAGTCATACTGATGAACTACAGGGCTGGCTATTTGCACCCTAGAAGCAAGAAAGATGGAGAACAAATTGTGTTCTGCCCTGTGACTCAGACAGTTAGAGTGGTAGCTGAAACACTGAACTTCCTGGCTCGTCCCCTTGTTTCTGGTGCAGCTTTTAACAGGGTATCCATGAGTGCCCCATATTATTCTGATCTATCGTCTGCTATCATCCTGTTCACCACGAGACTAAAATCCTCTGTGCACACAAGCTCAGGAGCCCTTTACAGTTGTTTGTAATTGCTTATTTAGGTTAGGAGAGAGCCATTACATTTTACTCCTCACTGTTTAGTGTTTAAAAGCCATATTATAGATTCCAGTTGTCTCTTTAGCTGTGCTCCAAGATTAAAAAGCTTTTAAAGGCAGAATATCTATGGAATAGGGAAGGTTGAATCATACTTTCAGCATTGGGGAGAAGATATTTGCTCTTACAGCCCAGATCAGCCTCATCACTAGCCTGCTGGAGCACCAGGATAACAGACCCTGGCACTGAACACTGCTGGATATGGTAAAAGACATCCATTCCAACTGCCTCAGGTTATGAACCAGATCCTGCTCTTGCTAACCCTGGTGGGAAACTGTCTCAGCTTTAGGTCACTACATCAGGTCTCAGAACCTAAGGAACTGAGGACCACACTGGGCAACAGTGATACTTCTTTTTACAAAACCTAATGCAAACATGTTGATAGTTTCATTTGTTTCAGCTAGATCACCTAAAAATGTCATCTTTGATGAAATTTTAGCAAAACTGTAAACAACTGTTTATGTTACAAACCCATCCTTGGCTATATTTGTTACTGGTTTTCATTATATATTGGAGGGGATACAAAGGGAGAGGGAGAGCAAGGAGAGTTGTAGGCTCCATGAACCTTTTCCACCTGGCAAGGGGTGACATAACAAACCAGAAGAAGGGAAGCAGGGAAGGATTACATGGGAGAAAGGGGATGAGCACTGACATCTGGCACTCAAACTTCCCACGTGAGGTCCAATTTGAGGGGGCTCAGGTTTGGCTGTGCATGTTTGTGCCCTTGGCTGAGACTGGGGTGGGACATCACCAGAGTGATTAGGAGCCCAGAAGAGCAGGTACTGCCAGACAGGATGCAAAAGGGGAGGGACCAGAACTTGGCACAACTCCTCTGCTTCCCCACTCACCAAACCTCTTCCACACCAAGAGCCAGCCTGGTACAAGGACCACTGCTCTGTGCCTCTGGTCTGCCCTTCTCATGTCAGTCCCTGGTGCCTTATTTTGTCAACAGTTTTGTCCCTCAGCACACAAATGAGGCCCCAGCAGTAAGGAGGTCATGCAGAAACCTCCCAGATCTGCAGCATCCCTGCCTTTCCACCTCACTGCACAGCAGGGTCTCTTACAGGGCTCAAAATGGTGAGTGCAGGACCTGGGCTTTGTCTAACGAGCAGCTGGAGGCATCGATGATGAGGGATCAGGAATGGAGCAGGATGGAGCAGGAACTAAGAGCAACAACCTCCAGGCAAAGGCAGAGGGGAAAAGCTGCAGCTACAGCCTGGACTCACGTTGGCTTCTGGGACTCTCTAATAAATGAGTCTCTGATATCTGAGCTTCTCTCTTCAGAGCCAAGAGATGTTCACAGATGTCCGACAGCACCATGGGGACCCAGTTTCCCTCCCTAACTGTGATGCTCAAACACACAGTCCTGCCAGCTCCTGCAACCTCAGGATTCAGCTGTGGAGATGAATCCCCCAGTAACTTGATTTTAGCAAATCTAGCAAAAACTCAATTTATCACATTTTCTCCAGCTGTCTGAAATATTACATCCTTGTATGTGGCACACAGCTATTTTTGCATACTGTGAAGCCCAATTCTATCCACAGCAGGCATTTGTAAAACACTGCCACATGCACACACATGCACATGCACTCCTGTACCAGCAGAAAAACAAACATCAGGGGCATATTAAAGGAATAAATCCTTTGTACAGCAAAGGAGAAGGAGTCTCATTGCTGGCTGTACAGAGAGCTCAGGAACAGACCATTGGCTGTGATACACAGGAAAGGTTTTCTATACAGAGTCCTCTGATGCTAAAAGCTACAGGAACACAAAAGCAATCCCAAAGTGAGACAAAAATCACAACAATTAGAGATGGAAATTAAATCCCTAACATCCATTTTTGCAGGTATGTAGAAGACAGGTCTGCACAACATATTCTCCAGTGATCAAACAATTCCTACCAAATCCCTTTGGGGACTGCTCTCCAAAAACCCTTTGAAGGGTTTCAAAGGTTTTTTTTATTTCCCTATTTCACAACATTTATTTTTGCAACTTCCCATTGTAGAGTTATATCCCATCACTGGGATGAGTCTAAGCAGCATTTTTCCTTTGTCAGTAATTAGTGGAGAAATGCTTCCCAACTGCAAGCTTCCTCCTCAGTTTGCTCACTACCATCTTGTTCTTCTGAAACACTGAAGTGTGCTTTGGACTCAGGGCACCTGCCTTTTTTTTCTTTTTCTTTTTCTTTTTCTCTTTTTTTTTTTTTTTTTTTGCTGTTATCCAAGTCTAAATTAGGAAAAAACAGAGTTAACAAAAAGGGAAAGGTGCTCTGGCTCAGCCCCAACCATTTCAAACATATGCATGAAATGCTCTTCCCTACTTCTGGAAAGAGTAATTTACTGATCAATTATATATATAATATTCTTCCCTATCTCTCAATATGATGGGAGCTTGTCTCAAGGAGCAGCGAGGGCAAGGCCAGGCTGAACTGGCTTTACCCTGAGGAGGACAATACTGCTGGAGATGCACCAGTAGTGCAGGTCTGCTCCAGCTCTGTCCTTTCTGTCTGAACTCCCAATCTGTCCCCTGCAATATGTCAAAGTGGTTAATGATTATCTGGCCCCTGCTATTTAAAGCCTACTGGCAGGAGTGCTGAGAAAGGATGGGAAAAAAATTATTGCCAGTGCATGCTTGTGGTGCTCGGTATATCCAGGGAGAAAATAACCACGTCAGGAGCAGCGTCAGCCCTGTTGAGTGGTGGTGGCAGAGTTCTGCCTGGCTTTTATCTGTCATTTATCAGTGCTGGGAGCCCATCCACAGCTGCAGCTGCTCACCCACCAGCAGGCAGACATGGGATGTGTTTCCCAGGCCTGTTCTTTTAACTGCAAATTAAGTACAGCAAATTTGCCAACCCAGTCTCCTTTAAACAGGGCAGGGCTGGGGATGATGGTGTCACTGGGCCAGGATGTGGTTGGTCTCCTGGGTTGGCCCAGCTGTGCTCACTGTGTCTGGTGCCTGGGCTGCTCCTGAGCACCAGCTCAGCTGGAAAGAGCCATGTTACCAACATCCTACTATCACAACCATTAAAGCAAACATTTTGAAAGCCAGTGCAAGCTGTACAGAAAATCAAGACAGCTGATGTTGTTCTTAAGACCTGCAGTTTTTCCTTTACCTGTGCATTTTTCCAGCTCAGGTAGGCAAAGTAGCAAAAGCATCAGTCAGAGGAGCAGTGCCCTGGGCTGGAGCAGGTCAATGAGGAGACTCTGGAGGAGTTGTCCCATCACAAGGGCTGCCATCTCTCTCTGGGAGTGTACATGCAGCTGCTGCTGCTGCTCACAGATCTGCATGCATGCATCTGACTGCTAGCATTTATCTGAGTTTGTCTTGTTTGCAAAAGGAAGCCAGGGTCATTTAATTTCAGGTCTTCAGCTGTGTCTCCTAAACATACTTAAATCTTCCCATTGAGTTTAAATGCAATGGGAAGTTTTATTACAGCAAATAAATGCCAAATTATTTCTATATTAGGAACATAATTACAGACAAATTAAGTAAAATGGCAAAGAAAAGTCCATTGTTACACAGCTGGTAAACTTCAATAAACATGTACTAATGACCACTCCATCTTCACACACTTAGAAGAGTTGCCCTTCCATCCTTTTGAACTAAACACATTGTTACCAGCATCTCAAATGCTTCCCCATGCATGCAAGCCCTGTGCCAGCCAGCAACAGGCAACAAGGGACATGGAACAGGTATCTATGTGTATGTGTGTGTACACATATGTGTTATATTGCATGAAATTCTCCAGCACTGGGGCAAATTGACACAGTGTGGACCCAGAGAGAAGTGGAGCTAGGTCTCCTGTGGTGCCAGGACAGGACAGGACATGGTTATGTATGGTGAGATGGCATTTCCCCAGGCACCTCAGCAGAGCTGGGTGCTGATCCCAATCTCCATCTTGGCAGAAATCTGCTGAGAGACTTTTCTTGACCCAGCTGGGGGAATACCCCCACTGGATACCTCCCTAAAATCTGGAGAGCCTATAGGAGAATCTATGCAAGTGATTACAAAAGGAAATAATCCAGACTGCCATCTCTGTGACCAGACTTTTATCATCCCACAGCTCCCCTGGAAGACTTGATATCCCTGTGCCACGCAGAGACAGCACTTCCCATAGCAGGCAAGATCTGTGTGCCCTGG